CTTTTTTCGTGACCGGCAACGGATGGCAACGGATCGCAACCCTCAGTGACGCCCCCGTACCGGACCGGGACCGGCAACGGGATCGCAACCCTCGGTGTTGCTCCCGCGCCTCGCTCAGCCAGTGAGTGGGAACCGGTCTGTATGTGGGATCCGAACCCTCGGGCGGGAGCGCCGCCGCGCTTCCCAAGCAGCGCACTATCCAGTGCGCCACCGGGCCGGCCTGGATGCTTACATAGTTTTAAAGTGCCTCCCCACGAGATACTTGTTAATTATATGGGGGAAAAGTATTAACTTTACCGAGAAGAAGCCTGGTGGCAGACACCACCTGTGGTAGATTGAATAATGCCACCCAAAATGTCCACATCCTAATCCCAGAACCTGTGGGCGTTATTTTATATAGCAAAAAGGATTTTGCAGGTGTGATTAAGTTAAGGATTTGGGGATGGGAAGACTGTCCTGGATTATCTGGGTGGGCCCACTATAGTCACAGGAGTCCTCATAAGAAGAAGGCAGGAGATCAGAGGGGAGGATGAGATGTGGAGAGGTAAGCAGAGATAGGAGCGATGCAGCTACCAGCCAAGGGATGCCAAGGTAGCCTCTAGAAGCTGGAAGAGACAAGGAGTGGATTCTCTCCTGGAACCTCCAAAAGGAACCAGCCCTCCCAATACCTTGATTTTAGCCATATAGGACCAATTTGAAACTTTTGACCTCTAGACTGTATGAGAAAAAAATTAAGTTTTTTTAAGCCACTGCTTTTGTTGTAGTTTGTTGCAGCAGAAATAGAATGAATACTAATCTACCACTTTAACCAAGTGATCAAAAAATTAACGTTACCAGAAATAGGGTAAATCAAAATTGTGTACCCCCTGCTAGGGTGCAATTGGAAGAACATAGAATCACTTCTCCAATATCCTGCTGAAGATGTATAACTTGAGTCTAGTCATGAGGATACATCAGGCAAACCTAGATAAAGAAACGTTCTACAAATAACTGGTTATCTTCAAAAGTGTCAAGGTTATGAAAGTCAGTGAAAGACTGTTTCAGATGGAAGGAGACTAAAGAGATATCACAACTAAATGCGACATGATTCTGAAATGGATCCTTTTGCTGTACAGGACACTACTGGGACACCTGGCAAGACTTGAGTTGGGCCTGAGGATTAGATGTATCGAGATTAATTTCCTGATATTGACGTCTATATTTTGTCCATATAGGAGAATACTCTAAAGTATTCAGAGGTGATGGGGGCATATCGTATTGGAAATGTACTTCCAAATGCTGCAGGGGGAAAACATTTCTTCATATGGTACTTGTAACTTTTTTGTAAATTGGAGATTTTAAAGAAAGCAAAACGAGTCTACAACCCAAGATTTGAAAACATATGAAGCAATCGATAGTCAATAAAATAATCAGCAAATTCACTCCAGAAAAGTAAGTTTTTATGGAAATCTGACAAACATTTTTTTTAAATAATAGAAAAAGAGGAAAATGGATCCAATTATTTATTCAGGATAGTATAATCTTGATACCACATTGGAGCAAGGACATGCAAGAAAAGTACACTGTAGACCAATCTGAATCATGGGTCTTTATCACAGGGAGGTGGCACGGAGCAGTGGTCAGTACATGGCCTCTGGAGCCAGGCCATCTGGATTTGCATTCTGGTGCCACTATCTTCTCTGTGACCTTGGGGAAGTGACTTGACTTCTGTGTGCCTTAATTTTCTCATATATAAAAGAGGAAAATAACCTTTACAATAAGCCTTCTAGGATAAAATGAAATAATTCATGGAAAGCACCTTAATAGTGCCTAGACCATAGAAAATCTAACAAATGTTAGGTATTGTTAGCTATTATGAACACAGTTTCCAAAATTCTAAATAAAATAATACCAAGTTGAATATAGCAGTGTCCGCAAAATAATAATAATAATAATAATAATAATAATAATAATAATGCATCATGGCAAGTAGGTTCCAGTTCAACAATACAAGAATAAGCAAACATCATTTACTAATGTAATATGCTTCCTTAACAAATGAAATACTCATTCAGTGCAAACTATTAGAAAACTACTTCCTTAAACTAAGAAACCTGTAGTAATGATCATACTTAATGGTAAAACTTTAGAAGCAATTTCCATCAAAGTCAGGACTTAGACCAAGATGCCTTCTATCACTGTTTCTATTCAACATTGTACTGAGGTCCTAGGCAATGAGTTAGTTTAAACCATATGAAATTGCCAATTTTTATGTCACACCCTGTCTAATATCAGCAATTTATATGATTCAACCTATAACAGACAGAAATAGAAGAAATAAAATTTAGAAATTGGAAAGGAAAAATACCCATATTTGTGTACACATGATTTCCTATGTAGAAAATCCAAGAGAATACACAGATAAATTATTAGGATTAGTAAGAAAGATAGCAAGATTGCTGAATTTAAGATCAACTTTAAAAAAACTTGTTAGTTTTCCTATACATTAGTAATAACAAATTATAAAATGTAACAGAAAAAGATCCTATTCATAACGGCAACAAAAACCTGAGAATATGTCTAACAAAAATACACGAGACCTTTCATAAACAATATTGCTATGGTCTGAACATGTCCCCTAAAATTCATGTGTTGAATCTTAATCACCAATGTGATAGTATTAAGAGGTGGGACCTTTAGGAAGTGATTAACTCATGAGGGCAGAGCCTTCATAGATAGTATTAACACCTTATAAAAGGGCTTGGTGGGGTGAGTCGGCTTCTTCTGTCCCTTCTATCATGTGAGGACACAGTGTTTGTTCCCTTTAGAGGAAGCAGCATTCAAGGTGCCATCTAGAAAGTAGAGATAGGGCCCTTACCAGACACCAAACCTACTGGTGCCTTGATCGTGGACTTCCCAGACTCCAGAACTATAAGAAAATAAATTTCTGTTGTTTATAAATTACTTAGTCTCAGGTGTTTTGTTATAGCTGCACAAACATACTAAAATAAATATAAAAATTACTTCAGGGACTTACAAGAAGAACTGACTAAATGGAAATATATACCATATATTATTATAAATGGGAGGGCTCAATATCATAAACATAACACTTCTCATCAAATTAAGCTATAAATTCGATGCAACTCCCACACAAATCCCAATAGAATTATTCATGGAATTAGACAGGTTGATCCTAAAGTTCATGTAGAAGTCAAGGGGCCCAGAACAGTATATACCACACATGGCTGGTGTCCTGCCCATTTGGCATCACCAGCCCCATACATGTCTACAAGAGCAGCCTCAGTGTATTCATCATGCCTTTTTATTCAGTACTTTTTTTTTTTCTTTTTTGGCAGCTGGCTGGTACAGGGTTCTGAACCCATGACCTTGGTGTTATAAGGCTGCATTCTAACCAACTGAGCTAACTGGCCAGGCTTTATTCAGTATTTTCTGATGTTTTGACATCTGAGGCCTTGCTGATCCTGGAGAGACTGTCCCTTCCAGGCTAGCCGGTTCCTGGAGATAGTAAAGGACTTGCCTGCAAGTGCACCTTTCATATGCAAACCAACCAATCCAAAGTGCACACTCTCTAACTACCTCCTTTATCTAGCTCTTACACCCTAAGCCACTGCCCATCTACCCTAATCACCCCAGGGCCATGCATAAGACAATTAGGGACAGCCACTACTCCCCAGAGCCCTAGCTAATCCTAAATTTGCTCACACTGTCTTGCCTTGCTTTTCCCTTGTAACCCACAATAAAAGCCCTTGCCCATATTCCCCTGAGCTCCTTCTACCGCCTGACCAAACCTGGTGCTTCCCCATGTAGCCCTTTATGGCATGCCCTGCCTCCTGCTTCTAGGCACCTCTGAGCATTAAAAACTTCTTCCTTCATGACAGTCATTTCCATGTCTGTGTCTCATCATATCTGATTAAGGCAAATCCTGAGTGTATTTTAAAGCAGCCAGTGAGAAATGGGAGTTGGTGGATAAATATCCAAGCTTCCTTGCCCCTCAGTCAGAATAACTCTGAAGTGCCCAGTAAGACTGAGCTCTGGTTACCCTTTGTGGTCACCTGCTCATTAATGCACCGTCAATCAGATTTCTTTCCTCCCTTTCTCACTTCGACTCTCCCAGCTGTGCTTCCTAGGATCACCTCCTAAAGAAAATTCTTACACCCAAATACTTGTCTTGGGTTCTGCTTCTAGGGGAACCCAAATGAATATACATTTTTAAAGGAGAAGAATGACATAGGAGGTGGTGAGTACTATAATGCCATAGAAATTAAGAAACTGAGGCTCCTGCCATTTTACCATGTGATACCCTGCATCGCTGTAGCCACCACCAGGAAAAGGCTCTCATGAGATGTGTTTCCTGGACTTTGGACTTCACGGCCTCCGAAACTTAATTCTTATTTAGTGGTAAATTGACATGCATACGAATGAGAAAATTTCAAGTATGAAGCAACCTGAGGCCCATGCCAGATGCAGCTGCCCCAGAATCAATCAATTAACTTATTGAGTAGCGGAGGAACCAGCGGCAGCGACAGCAGTGGAGGAGCTGGTGACAGCGGCAGCGGCACCCTCGACAGCAGCGGCAGCGGTGGGAGCGGCGCCAGTGGTAACAGCGGCAGTGGCAGCAGCGGTGGAACTGGCGGTGGCGGCAGCGGCGTAAGTGGCACCGGTGGCAGTGGGGGAAGCGGCGGCAGCGGGGGAAGCGGTGGCAGCGGAGTCAGCGGCAGTGGAGCCGATGGCAGTGGTGCCGGCGGTAGCGGCATGAGCAGTGGCAGCAGCAGCAGCGGGGGAACAGGCAGCGGCAGGAGCGACACCCTGCGGTACCACCTCGTCACCCAGCAGCCCGGCAGAGTCCAAGCTGACCAGAGAGGTGGCTCCCCAGAGAGGCGCAAGACCCAAGGTAACCACACACACAAGGCACTAGTCACCAACTGAGTAGTCACTGAGGTAGCCATACCAAATTGGCAACCCCAGCAACATCTTAGTCAGGCAATAGTGTCAAATCTGTGAACTGTGAAACCCCCTGCCACAATGAATAAACATCAAAGAAAAGACACCAGACATACGAAAAATCAAGAAAGTACACCACCCAAAGATAATAAATCTCAAGCTCTAGATCCTATAGAAAAAGAAGCCCTTGAAATGACTGACAAGGAATTTCGAGTGATAATTCTAAGGAAACTGAATGAGATACAAGAAAACTCAGCTAGACATCATGATGAAATGAGGAAAAGTATACAGGACCTGAAAGAGGAAATGTACAAGGAAATCAATGCCCTGAAAAAAAAATCTAGCAGAACTTGCTGAACAGAAGAAGTTATTCAGCGAAATAAAAAACATAACGGAGAGTTTAACCAGCAGGCTTGTCGAAGTTGAAGAGAGAACCTCTGAACTTGAAGATGGGCTGTGTTTAATAACACAAGCAGACAAAAAAAAAAAAAATGAATCAAAGACATTGAAGAAAATCTAAGAGAGATATCAGATAACGTTAAGCGCTCAAATATCCAAGTCATGGGTATTCCAGAAGGGGAGGAAAACGGAGATTGCATTGAAAACATATTCAACAAAATAGTGG